TGATGAGTCATAACGCTGGACAAAAACATACCCAATAATATAAAATTAGTTGTGACTCGCTATAAAGGCAACACCAGTAGGCTCAAAATGGCACTTTTACTAGTGATCTGAAGTCCACCTTTTTCCTTCCCGAGCCTTCTTGGCCAGTATCTTGCTTTGTGTGCTAAATACTAGGCATTACACACAATTTCTAGAAAGGAATATGCGCTGTTGTCAAAGATAAATGAGTATTTAAGGGTGCGAGTGCTTCATAAATCTTACTTGCTGTATGTTTTAGTAATAAGAATTGCTTTTATAAAGCTGAAATAGACAATATATGTTTGGGTTGGTTCTTAAACCATTGGCTATAATGAAGTCCCTTGTTTTTGCTACCACCAGTTAAGCACTCTGTAACACTACTGGTACAGTAACTGGTCTGACTATGCATAGTAAGCTTTGTTCACTCCTCTCAGGGAGCTGAGAGCAGGTATCTGAGTTCAAGGAATGCCTGTACATACAAGAGAACAGACTGACTGACACCTCAGACGATATATTATAAGGGTCGATAGTAGCCTGTTTGGCATTCGTACTTTTGAAGGTCAGTTTTTAAAGAGCAGGTCCTATTCTAGACACTGCTGTTTCTCCTTCTCACCTGAAAATCAGTGTGTGTTCTTCCTGGGATATGCATCAACTGAAGGGTGCATGGGAAAGAAACTGAGAGGCCAGGTGACAAACACTGGGTTCCGTTATGAAAGCATCTGTCTTAGGGAAGACTGAGGCACCATTTTGCTAGTAAGTCATTCTTACGGAGAATGTAAAAGCCAGTTGTATTTCTAAGCCAACAGAAATTGTTCTGTGAAAGAGAGACACCTCTGATGTCACCATCAGCCCCCTGCATCATGAGCCTTCACTTGAGGGGGATGCAGGTGGAAAAATCTGACACAAAATTGAGAAATGTCACTTTCACCCTGATCTTGGACACTGTACATATGGATGTTCTCTTTAAGTTCCTGGTCATGAATTACCAAAGAGAAAAGGTGGCTTGGTGACTAGAATAATATAGGAATTAAAAATAATCAATGATAAACACTAATTTTGTTTTTAAGACTCTCATTTTTGCAATTAAGACTGAAGGGACACATTTCATGAAAGAAGATTTCCTTATATCTTGTGCTCTGGTGCCTAATCAGCCATTCATTTTGGTTAACAGGACTCTTTCCTCCTCAGTTTCTACAGAAATTACAGGAAACAAGTAAATTGTAAAAGCCCGTAATAAAGTAACATATGGTAGTATCCAGACCAACAGTGTATTTGAAATTATTTCCTACAATTTCTTAAATAATTTCACAACAATAACAAAAGAACCAGGAGTCTATACACAAATATAGTTTAAAGCATCATGAATGAATCCAGTAAAGATTTCTTTTCTGTGAGGTAATAGGACAAAAGTTTTCACAGTAACAAAAAAGTGGGGGCACCTAGGCAAAGAGGGAGGTAGAGAGGAAAAGGCAAAAAATCAAATTTATCTAACTGGAATTTGGATTTCTTCAACATCACACACGTCAATGGAAAATATCTGAGATAAATACCAGTAGCAGCAGTTCATCTCCATTCACCTCCACAGAGGATCTTTGTTGCATCAATTCTAGAAGCTTAAGAAAAAGGAATTCTACTTCTTATACAAAGATATTCCAAAATATTCAGTCTTAGAACCTCTGTCCGCTTGAAGTAACTACATCCAAAAACCAATACTCGATATTTTTAACACATTCCTCAAATGTCCAATAAAGCTATACAGATCCTTTAAGATGAACAAAACAGTGTTCAAGTCTCAATTTGCCAGGATAAATTAAAAATAACATTCAAGCAGGCCTTTATCTGCTACACTCATATCTACTATACAGCATGTACAAAACTATCTTGTGAACTAAAATCTTCCTGATATGAAGTGGAACTCAAATGCTGCTTTAAGTGCTCTTTAATATAACATCTTTGTTCCAGCCTGAGTTTTTAAAAGAACACGTATTGGGAGGAAAAATTTAAAAGCCATTTACTCTATCCATTAAATTTTTTGTGTGTATGGTTTTGGGGCCACACTAAGCAGTGCTCAGGGCTTACCTGTGGCTCTGTACTCAGCGATAGCTCCCGGTGGGGCTCAGGGGATCATGTGGGATGCTGAGAGTCAACCCAGGTATACCATGTGCAAGTGTTCTACTTGCTGTGCTATTGCCCCAGCCCCTACCATTAATATTTATCATTTAAATTTTTGTTTTGATTCTCTTATTCTGTCCTCACTGGATGGAGTAAAATTTGTCATCTTCTTTGAGTCCTTCAACGAAACTCTCAATTACTTAACAGCTTTCTTAATCTCAACAGGTTTCTCCTCTAGAGTTAAGTGACCTTGATTTTTTTTTCCTTACAGGTCTTATTTTTATCTATATTGTGTTATCTTTGCTATATCCTCTCACCAGTTCCACCTGATCCTAATTATTAATGTCCTATCAGGAACTGAATCAGTAAGAGAAGTACTTCTTCTCACTTCCTGAAAACGAACCTCTTTATAGTGGTCGTTAACAAAGGAAGACAATAGTATGATGGTCCATTTATCACAATAATAAGTAGGCAAATGGAAACAATTTGCCCAGAGCCAGTTTATTCTCTAGATCTGGGGTAGGAAATTTTCCTTTCACAGGAGCATTTCCTGTGCTACCTTACTGACTGACTGTCCTTTGGTTCATTTCTTCTTTCCCAGGGATGCTTTATTCTTGCCCTACTAATTCTTTCCCTTCCTCCGGGAGCTGAAGAAAATCCCAGTTTTGGTCTATATGCTCAGTGAGAACGGATTCTTTTCCATGATATTGCTCTTAAACAAAATGATAATCAATGCTCAGGCCAAAGCGAGACTTTCTGGCTAGTAGCTCTTTTTCCTGGTAGTCTCAGGTTATCAAGGTACTGGTAGGCAGGCGTAGGGCCACCAGGCTGAGTGTCAAGTTCAAGAGAGGGTAGACACCTTGGCTAAGATCAAATGATTTCCTATGTGTATCCACTTTGGGAACACCAATAACATTCTGTTCATTTTAACTCTAGACTTTAGAATTTTTGAAATAAGCATTTACATTTTAATACTGTTTCACCTTGAACACTGAATTACTTCAGTGTTACATTATATCAAAGCATTCAAATAAAGGTTTTTTTTTATAAGACAGAACAACAGTCATGACCTGGCTTTGGTTGAGTCTGAATGGGTTATTATATGGTCTTAACTCCATTGTACTCTTTACTGTTTCATAGACACTGAAAGCAGACATATTTTCATATATAGTTTTGTTCATATAGACCTTTACTGAATTATAATCCACATTCCTAAAAGCTAATAAATCAAAAAAAAAAGTTCTACCAGTTTCTTCTTCAGTGCAAAACCTTTGGAAGCAAACTCACTCAGAAATATGTTCTATATTTAGTGAACACTCTATTACCTAAATAGAGTCAAACATAGTCATACATGATCCTGCTGTCAGATGGCAGGGAAGGAATGAACACATTAACAATAGTGGCAACATAATCAATTAAAAACTATACTTGGATTATATGGGTTCTACCGCAGGTTAGCTGATAGCTGCCACAAATAAAATTATGGTTTTAAAATATCTGAAACCATTAACACTTTTTATTTTTCAGAAAATAAATTCTCAAATATTAGTTATCCTCCATAGGCAATTTTTTCAGTTTGATTACACCCAAGGCCTTGTTATTACTGCCTCTTAACTATATCACAAGAAACGTTTTGTGAGCTATACAGCATAGAATGTACTTTACTCATCATCAGAAATTCTACACCAACCTGAAAGATATTAAACAGGGCTTTAATTTTAGAACATGTAGTCTTAGTGTTTTGTAACACCCTCAATCTGTTCGTTTCATTTCTTAATCAACCTGGCATTACTTCATCTAACAGAGGAATAAATACACTTATAGAATGTCATTTGAAAGTTAGATTTTTGTTTGGTTTTGCTTTTGTTTGGAGGGCACACCTAGTGATGCTCAGGGCTTACTCCTGGTTCTGTGCTCAGGGACCATCCCTGGTAGTACTTAGGGGACCATATACGGTGCCAGGGACTGAATCAGGGGCACCCATGTGCCAGGGAAGTTTTTTAACCCCTGTATTATTTCTCCAGCCCCTGAGAAGTCAGACTCATATAAACTCTGAGCTTGTTTCTCTGTTCAGATTTTTTTTTCTCAAAATCTATGATAAGTGACACTTAATTCTACTATGAAAAGTCTTACAGTTACCTTGAGCTGATTTTATTTATTCATTTATTTTGGTTTTAGGGTCACACCCCTGTGGTTCTCAGGGAATATTCCTGATTCAGCACTCAGGTGTAACCCCCGTTGTCACTCAGTGGACCGTAGGTCATACTGGAGATTGAACCAGAGTTGGTTATGTGCAAGGCTAGTGCTTTAGCTCCTCTCCTATCTTTCAGGACCAAGCCTATTTTGATTAAGATTTTTAAAAAAATTTACATTTATGATTTTAAAATCAACAAACCTATTTGTTATGGTGGGGAAGCACCATGTAGTCTGAAAGATTTTCCTTATCTGTCTGAAAATTAACTGGTTAAATTAGATTCACCACTGGAACACTGTTTGGATTCATACCAGGCCCTAAGAAGGCACTGAGAAATTTGACAAGAACAAAGCCACTAAAGGGGTGCCACTACTGTTTCATGTTCAGTAAACATCAGAATATTAAATGCACACATTTGAATATTGTTCAGTACATGAGACATTTACACTAAACCAAGAGCACCTGCAAGAGAGGTACTGAAACCACGTACTATAGTGTGTCCTAAGCTAGAAATGCTAACTACCCTAATTCAAATACTACAATCTGTAAATTAACACTTGCGATGCAAACAATGACACTTTTCTACAGTGAAATGGGAACAGTATCACTTATATGTCCATTTTTATAGACTAAATTCCTTAACTATATAACTATGTAACATTAAACTGACTTTTTTTAAACCGTGCTATACACAGTGATAAGAACATGGATGTAAGCTTAATCATACTTTAATACAAGAACCCACTTTTGCTACTGTTTGGTTTCTGTGTAAGGAAGAACAACGTGCTACCATGACACTCTTAATGCAATGACTTTTGCTCAAATAACTATTGAGGAAAAAAATGGATTCTTTCACTCAAGAACACATCATTTCAAATACACAGTTTGTTTAGTAAGCCGACCAAAAAGAAATAAAAATAAAAGGAAACAGACATTTGTATGGATGAGAAAGAGAATGCTAACACAAGTTCACTTTCTGCAGTTCCCGCTTGCTCTGTGCCACATGCCAGGGCAAAGTACCGCCACTGTTAACATTAAACAGAACGCCAGGACAGTTCATTTTTACTGGGTTCAAGAAAATTCTCGATCAGAGCTTCAATGAGTTTCTTCAATTCCTCTTCTAGTAAGGCAGTATCACTGAAGAAAAAGATGGAGAGTTTTCAAATCCTCAATTTTCACAGCTTTAAAATTTGTTTAGTTATTATGTTTAGAGAGCATATATCTGATGGAATAAATTAAGCAACTGACAAAAACAAAAGAACAATTCACTCACTTAAAACAGAACAAAGCCAGACCAAAGGGCTACCCAAAGAAAATGCTACGATCATAAACTGAAGTTGTCCTGCACTAAAACCAGTCTCTTAGGTGGCAAGTAGGTGAGTTATCGCCAGGTATCCTCAGCCAAGATCAGGTGGTTTAATCACTTAGAACACCAAACCAGGAATTAATATACAATGGTTTCCTGAAATACTTTGAAGAATCCCCAGAATGGATACTAAATGATGATTTTCAAGGGGCAGGGAGCTACAATGGGAAAAATGAGATTTAAAAAAAAAATTAAAATTAAATGAACAAGTGTACACTTCTGACAGTGTAATGTAAATATTTTTTACCTGGAGTACTGCTGCTGCTCTAGATATTTGTCAGAAAAGCCTTTTTACAACTCCCCTTAACTTTATTGATTTACTACGTAATTGTCTGGGGAGTTTGGGACCACGCCAGGTGGTGCTCAGGGCTTACTCCCAGCTCTGTGTTCAGGGATCACTCCTGGCAGTATTTAGGGGAGCATAGAGAGTGCAGGGCATCAAATCCAGTTGGTCACATGCAAGGCAAATGCCCTCCCCACTGTACTCTCTCTAGCCCTTAGCCTTTATTTTAAACCAAATATAGCACTACCCAGCTTGGCATACTCAGAACTTGTTCTGAATGACTTTAAGAAGTCATCTATTTCTCCCCAAGGAAATAAAACCTCTCCTCAAATGCAAATATTTAGCAAAATGCAAAATAATAAACTTTGGGTTGTAAGGGCTATTCCAAAAATTGTATTATTTACTGCAGTTATGGGCTGGAGTGATAGCACAGTGGGTAGGGCGTTTGCCTTGCATGCAGCTGACCCGGGTTTGATTCCTTTGTCCCTCTCGGATAGCCCGGCAAGCTACCGAGAGTATCCCACCCGCATAGCAGAGCCTGGCAAGCTCCACATGGAATATTCGATATGCCAAAAAAAAAAAGTGAAAAGTCTCACAATGGAGACGTTACTGGTGCCTGCTTGAGCAAATCGATGAACATCGGGAGGACAGTGCTACAGTGCCACTGCAGTTACTTTTGCACAAACTCTGCTGATACTAAAATCCCTGGGGACCAGAGAAATAGTACAGGGTTAAGGCGCTTTCCTTGCATGTGGCCCCTCATATGATCACTGGCATTACATATGGTCCCCTGGTCCCCTGAGCACGGTCAGAAGGGATCTCTGAGTACAGAACCAAGAGGAAGCCCTTTGCACTGCTAAGGGAGGTGGGAGGGGGGTGTTCCAAGGTGCCTCCCATCCTCTACTTCCCTGCAAAAAAAGAACAAACAAAATGAAACACCTGTGGAATTGTGTATATTAAAGGGAAGAAACATATGGCATATGAGCTCTATCTTGATAACGTTGACACCCATACCCACACCCACACAGATCTTAAAGTTGAGCCTCACCTTTGATCTGGTGATGCACACATCTCTGCATAATACTTGATCTTTGGTTCTGTCCCACTTGTGCGCAGAGTAGCAACACAGCCGTTTTGAAAAGTGAAAGTGATCATTTGGCTATTTTTACTCACAGGCAGCACCTGGGCAAAATTATAACAATCGTTGAATTACACTTCCTGTCTTTTCACTTTTGTTTGGTCTTGGTTTGGGGGCCATACCCCGTGGTGCTCAGGGATATTCCTGGCTCTGCTCTCAGGAATCACTTCTGGCGAGTTCAGGGGGTCATGTGGGATGCTGGGAATCAAACCTGGGTTGGCTGTGGAAGGCAAGCTCCCAACCCTCTGTACTATCTCTCCAGTCACTAGCTTTTCACTTTCAAGAGCTGCACGACACATGATGTTTACATGAGGTATCCATAGTCCAACTCCGCAGAAATGTAAGTGGAACTGCGGTTGCCAAGATCTGGGGAGAGGGAGAGGTGGGAAGTTGCTACCTGGAGACAGTTTTAGTTTTGCAGGATGAAAAATCTCTGGAGATTGAGTGTCTTAAGAATGGAGATGAGGGGCTGGAGTGATAGCACAGCCGGTAGGGTGCACGGTTGACCTGGGTTCGATTCCCGGCATCCCATATGGTCCCCCAAGCACCGCCAGGAGTAATTCCTGAGTGCAGAGCCAGGAATAACGCCTGAGCATTGCTGGGTGTGACCCAAAAAGAAAAAAAACTGGAGATGAAGTTAATACTACCAAGCTATCCTCTTCTGAAGGGCCTCGATGGTAAATTTTGTGTTAGACTCTTTGTTGTTTGTATCTGACCACAAGTTAAAAAATAATTTTAAAGAATTATAAGTGTAAAGATTACACACATACTAATTCAGAAAGGATTAATTTATGCAACATTTACAATAGTACAAGCATTGATTATATAATTTACAAACAGGATCTCTGGGTCTTAGCAATAATCCCCACAAAGCAAATACTACTGCCAATTTATGGTCAAGGCTCCGGGCAGCAAACCACCAACACAAGGCGATCAGCTCAGAGATAGAACCTGAAGTGGAAGCAAGGTCTACCAGCTCCAAAATTCAAATTATCTACATTTGGTGTGTGGGGAAGGGAAGAGATCCCAAGTGGTAATCAAACAGTCTGAAGGCTACTCCTGGCAATTCCTGGCTGATCATGGTTGACTTGCCAATATTCCCCTGGGACTCAAGGGCAGAAAAGCTGTCTCTGTCCTTGCTGGGTCACCAGTGTGTGTGTGTGCCTGTGAGCTCCGAAGCATTTTGATGACCTAGGGGTGACTACTGTTATGAAGTAAAGAAGAACTTTGGGAGCCTTTGACACCGTGCACCCTTAGGGGATATTATATACCTCCTGAAACACTGTTGCATGGAGAACAGCCAATGGAGACTTGTGAGCCATAAGGATCAGAAACCTCAAAGGGAGTTAGGGAAAAGGCATCGCACAAGAGCTATTCTGAGGGAACACCAAGTAAAGGATGTTTGGAGGATTCGCTGGGAATGTGTGCTGAAAGTAGCCTATAACCGAACACAATGGCCACACAATACCTCTTTTGCAAACTACAATAGCCTAAAGGAAAGAGTGAGCAAAAGGGAATGCCCAGCCACAGAGGCGGGTTGGGATGAGGGGGATGAGGGGTGGGTGGGAGGGATCCTGGGATCATTGGTGGTGGAGAATGGGCACTGGTGGAGGGATGGGTACTGGATCATTGTATAACTGAAACCCAAGCACGAAAGTTTGTAAGTCTACAACTGTACCTCATGGTGTTTCACTAATAAAAAATATAAAAGTATTCTGAGCACAAGCCCATTACAGAAATAAAAGTTTCAGCATTCTGGTGAGCACCCCTGCTGGGTTACCCGTGACGCACTGCTGATGGAAGGGATGCGAAGCGTATGGGGCAGAGGCAGCCAGCAGCTCCTGAGCTGAGGTAGGGGCTCAGAGGTTGCAGCTGCCAATGGCAGTTTCACAGGTTGTCACAACAGAGAGGTTCTGTGCCCCACTTAAAGAGAAAAGTTGAGACGGACCACGCCCCTGGATATGACATGGATTTTGTCGAAGCACCTACAGCACAGTTGCCTTTGGTTTCCTTTAAAAATGGACCAGAATTGTACTATCAGGTTTTGTCTCTACATAACTGTACCCACCAAGCTTAGTGCACTCAAGTACTTTGTTTGGGGCAATATCAGTACAGGTAAACATGCAGATACAGTTTTAAATATTCTTAGCTCATTTGAGAAGAAACCACGTATATTGTAAATGTGCTAGTCTTCAGAACGACCAATAAACAAGTTGAAAAAAAGAAATAGGAAGGGAAGGAGAAGGGAGGGCAGCAAAAGGTTTGTTTTTTTGTTTTCTTTTTCTCTTCAACTATCTCACAAAAGACAGAGGAGCAGAAAAATGCAAACGTGCACACACATGGAATATCAACATCAGGAAACTGATCCTTGCTGATGGGATGGATGTACACGAATGGAATAGGTGTTGTGGCATCCTAAATCAGAGGCGGGAAATTTTCCAAAATATAGTATGTGCCTACATTCTTGAGACAGCACTGTTTTGTTGTTGTTCATTTGTTTGGGGGGCCACAGTTGGCGATGCTCAGGGGTTACTCCTGGCTCTGCACTCAGGAATCTCTCAGGATCACATGGGATGCTAGGGATTGAACCAGGGTTGGCCACATGCAAGGCAAATGCCCTACCCACTGTATTAGCACATTGATCCCTCCAGAGCATTTAAATATTGGTTGAACACGTAGCAAGTAGCAAGAGGTCCATCAGAAATGGATCTTCCAGGGCCCAACGCTAACATATGATACAAAGTGATTAAGGACCTGGGGGTGGAAGCTCCATGATGAAACCTCAGATGATGATGGGACCTGAGGTTCTAGGGTGATATTTGTCCATGTCTTACAATGGCTCAGGGATGGCCCTGGAGGAGGAGGTAAAGGAAAGATGAGGGGATAGTTTCAGCAAAAAAAATAGGTAAACTATAGAAAATGTATGCACATAAGAAACTATACAATATGGCTTGGGGCTAGTAACTAGGCTGAAGGGAAGCTAGAAGATCCTAATTTTTGCAGTCACAGGCCTTAAGGCTTTATTTCAGCATTATTTAGCATCACCATACAAGAACACACATTTGTTACACTTCCTGCCTTCCTGCATCCCTTTACCTCTCCCTACCTGATGTGTGTGCACGTAAACACACACACACACACACACACACACACACACACACACAGAAAAATTAGGAGGTTGCATTGATTTGAGAAGTGAAAAGGGCAGGATCGTTGTCACTGGATTTTGAAATGATTCTGGAAAATGAAAAAAATCAATGGAATCTATTTTCTCTCTCTCCTCCCTGTGCCCCCATACATCCTGTTTTCAAGAAACTCTCAGGTTGAAATGCGGACTCTATAGGTTGCATTTACCATACTATGAATTATTACAAATTTCTAATAAGTTTCTCAAAGAGTAGATACTTACTGATTTCTTATCAGGCTGGCTGCTGTCATATCCGGTGGTAATATCCCGTATATGCAGGATTGCAAATGGCCCGCAAAATTTTGGATATTCTTTTGGAGAATCAAAATTACGCAGCCTTTCAAATATACTTTTGATGGTAGTTGGGTCATAACACAAGAAATATGAAGTTTTCGAAATGTGATAGCCATATCTGCATAAACATTCAAAATGTCAAAATCAGATTTCAGCAGCCTTCAGGATGCTTAAGTCTATGGTATTTTGTAGAAAATGGCCAACTTGCCTCAAAACCAGACTCAGTAATCTAGAGTGTGACTACAAGACGAAGAACCTAGCCTGTGAGGCTCCTCGTCGCAGAACTTACGTCTCGTAAACCCTAACCAGCTGCTGCTTCAAGGTGATGTTTGTGGTTTCCAGGTAAGACGCCATCTCAGCAATGACGGCAGCTGCGCTCACTCCATCCTTATCCAAAACGGAGGTTCCACACTGAAAACCTGGGGATTAAATAGGCTCTTGAAGAGAAGAGGAAAACTTAACAATAATTTCATCAACTTTACATTTTAAATTTAAAAAATTTAAAAGGCGAACAACAAATGAAATTCACTGAGAGCAAGTTAGAGACCTTTAATATTTCTTCCCCCCCTAACCCCCCCATTAGAAATGCATCTCTGTGCTTCTTATTTCTCTGGTTTTGACAACTCAAAAAGTAAAATGGGAAGACAAGAATTCCTCTTTATAAAATACTGTGAGTGTTTAAGTGCTATGACCAGATTTCAAAGATTTTAATATTAACTACATACCAATAGATTCTTCAAATGCAAAAAGAACTTCTTTCCCATTTTCCAGGAGGTCTTTTATTCTACTTCCAATCCATTTAAAACCTGGTAATGTTTCCTGAAATGTAGAGTTCACTATAGTTAAGTGACTCTCATAAATACATATTAAAAGAAAAAAATACCCTGTCATTAAATGTACATAACATTTAATGGTGATCTGCATTTATCTTTGGTCTGCAGATTTTTACAGTAGCAAACTTAGTCACAAAGTCGACATATACGTGAAGTCTATGAAAACAAAATTAATGGATTCATCAGCCATGACAACATTTATTGAGCAGATTAATAGCTGACACCAAATATAGTCCAATAGTTATAACTGGTGATGCACAAAGTCACAAAAATACACACATATATTATGACTATCACTACCAAGCTTTGTAACATGTGTTTTACATTAGTATTTTTAAATGCTCATAAAAAGCTGTACTTGAAACAGAAGCTAAGGGGAGTCTATAGATTTGTCTAAGATTATACTCTTATAAGAGAGCCAAGAATCAATTACACTGCTTCTCAGTAACTGCCCCTTAAGATTCATTATAAGTAATATAAAAATGTCTGTCTTTAAAGATTGAGATTTAGTACTTGAGTAATCAAAGCCTTTTAATAATTTATTTTCAACACTTTTACAACATAAGGCCGAATTCAGTATACCTTACTACAATAACATTGTGGCTGAAATGGTATCATAATTCTTTTATCATCTGATTTGAGAATTTCATCTCTCTTTAAAGGTATGAACTGTTTTATTCAGAGACAAGGCCAAAATTCGCATGGTTTCTCTTTCCCAACAAAAAACAAGGAAGAAAATGTTTAACAGTAGTCTATACAATCATTTCCTCTCTCTTATGTGTTCATTATACACTGTTCTTGCCACAGACATAAACCATTAAAATGCTAAAATTATTGAGATGCAGAACCTTAACCTTGAATAAATGTTTCATTTCTTCTACCTTGTTATTTGTGTTTTAAATGCTGAAACTGAAAGTTCTGGTTCATTAAGACAACTCTCACTTTCTTTTACTTTGCTAAGACTTAAGCTCTTTGGTACAAAGACCTTAACAAGTGTTAAACTTGACTATGACTCAGAAATAAAAACAAACCCCAGAAGTTGAACACTTTCACAGGAGAAGAGCAATTTAATAGGCATCTGTACCAGCAGCTGCACCATGGTCAGTGCCATTGCTAAGACTCCTAAAAGCTAAACAGTCAGAGTCTCTGTTGGTCAATAGAAAATTATTGGGTCTGAAATTGCAACTGAAGTGACTACTGAAAGCTCAAGTCTGAACTTGACCTCAAATAAGGCTGATGACAAATACGATCTTCTGGAATACCATTTGCGCTACTGATGTGATCATCCAGTGCCAGATTTTCCCAGAAGAAAACTAGAGACTGGAACATAAAATAATTAGATTTGTGCAATTTTATTTAATTGTTTAGTTTCTGGGACGCAGCTGGCAATGTTCAGAAGTTACTCCTAGTTCTGCACTCAGGGATCATTGCTGGCAGTGCTTGAGGGACCATATGGGATGCCGGGGATGGAACTCGGGTTGGCCATGTGCAAGGCAAGTGCCCTACATGCTGCACTATGGTTTCAGCCCCATCATTTGTGCAATTTTATTTTATTTTTTTCTAATTGTGTGTTTTTGTATTTTTTTAATGAATCACCATGAGATACAGTTACAGATACAAACTTTCATGATTATGTTTCAGTCATATAATGATTGAGTACCCATCCCTCCAGCACTGCCCATTCTCTACCACCAATGTTCCCAGTATCCCTCCCACTACTCCCACCCCATCCCAGCTTCCCCCCCCCACCACCACCTCTGTGGCAGGCACATTTGTGCAATTTTAAAAGAACATTCCTTCCTTAGTTTCAGAAATTTATGTTCAGATGTATTTGGTTCAAGGTCTAAAAGCTATCAAAAGATTAAAAACTAGTGTTAACAAAGTTAGAAAAAAAATAGGAAAATTGCCAATAAAGTAAAAAGTTTGTTTTGGTGCGAAGACGGTTTTATAAAAAGAGATTTAGGAAAGGAGAACATAGATATTATCTATTCTTACTTCAAAATGAAATCCTTCCTTAAGTGCAATTGCTTTCAGAATTTTGGACGAGACTGTCGTGGCCAGCATATAAATGTTCCTCACATCAGCAATTCTTGACTTATTTCTCTTCCAGCAATCAAACATCCACCACCCAAACAAAGCTGCCAGTTCATTCCCTGTGAAAACTTTCCAATGACCACTGCAGAGAATAAAAACCAAGGTTAAGACCTCCATAACTTATCTTTAAATAAAAGTTCTTGACTTCAAATTTCTAATCTTCCAATAGGAAAACTCAAAGCCAAACAGATGTTAAATAAAATAAAACGTTAGGAAACATTTATTATGACTTTTCTAAGCTGACCAGAAGTGAGCTTAAAGTAGGATGTTAGAAATGTCCTTTGAAAAATTGTTAAATTATTATTCTCCTACCTAATGAGAAAAGAACGATTATTCTTGTCACTAAAAAGAAATGAAATCATGTGAAGTGATGGCTATGCTGCAGTGATTGCTGCTGTAAAAAAAAAAAAAACAACAAAATCACATTATAATGAGTGCTTCATATCAACATAGTGTAGACCTTAAATTTATATAATGCAATATGTGAAATACATGTCATAAATAAATAAAAGGAATAGGGGGGCAGGGAGATAGCTCAAGGGTCAAGCACAGGCTTAGAAATATCCACGGCCCTGAGTCTGACCCCTGCATTCACCCCTCCACACCACTGGGTGATGCACAGTTGGCTCCCGGGCACCAGTAGCCGTGACCTTTGTCACAAGAGGCCCTGGACACCCTGCTGCGTATGACTCCTTTCAAAAAATAAAACAAAAAATAAAAGAGATGAAAGAATATCCTCTCAATATATGGAGAGTTGTCACAACATAATGACAAGTACACTTCAATCAAAGGACCAGCTCAGGAAACAATTCTATTGATGAAGCAGTATGTTAGGATAGCTGCCATTTTAAACGTTAGTATTTTCAGGGCCAGGGAGCGAGTTCAGGGGCTGGAGCACCTGCTTTGCATGCACGAAGCCCTGAGTTTGACTGAGTGGGTCTGTATACCCACCAGCACCAAGCACCACTGGGTTACAGCCTGGTGACACTGACCAGGGCTGGCCTACCTACCGCCAGGAGTGGCACTGGGGCCCCACTAGGGATGCCCTTCTCCCATTAACACTGTCAAGGAATATTTAAGGACAGGGAATATTTAAGCTCAGGGTATTGTGAAAAATTCTCACAAGTGAAAATAATACAAAATGGTGCATATTAAGATGATTTTTATGAAAACAGCTATGTCTTTAATATTCTGAGTATAAAAGATAGGAAGGAAATGTCAAGATATCGACATGAAGAGTGTGCTTATACACAATGCAAATTTTCTTAATTAAGAAAAAATACTATGTCCAAGGAGCCAATAACACTTCAAATCAAAATGGTTTTTTCCAAGTCTTAAGCTTTTGAATCAATAACAGGTTCTATTTACTTCTCCTGGAGCTCTGCCACTGCCAGTCGGTCTGCGTCAGGATCTGTGGCTAGCACTATCCGGGCATTTTCTTTCTCTGCCAGTCTCAGAGAAAGTTCCTGAAAGAGTGACCCAAAAAGCTGGATTGTATTAAAGAAGTTAAAGTCGGTGTTAACATTCTAAATGTAGACACTATGTGAGTGATAAAAGACTTTAGAAGGAATTTAGTTGGGCTAACTTTAAAATAAGAATCCTGCAAATCACTTTATCCACCACAGAGACTCCGAACACAACAGAAACGCAAGGTTCCGACATGAACGAAAAGAGAAAAACGAGTTTGGGTTCTTGCATGACCTTGGAATTGCCAATCAACTCTACCTATTCTGATTAATCTGACATACAGAGAATACTTCAAATATAGGGGAAAAGTATATACCAGCACAGATTCTCCTTCTTCAGGATTGGGGCATTTAACCGTAGGAAAGTCTGGATCAGGATCTTTTTGTTCCGGTACTGGAATTGGAGGCTTAAAACCAAATGCTTGGAAAGCCAGCTGCACGTAGTCATGCCCAACCCCGTGGAAAGACGTATGGACAAATTTCAAGCTAGTCTTTGAGTTCAAATCCCTGTAAGGGGGGGAAAAAAATCAATCCACAGAAAATGTGTTAAAAGTGAAATTCTGAGAAAGCCTCATCCTCAGTGTTTGGCCTACCCAATCCATCCAGCATGGAAACTTCCTTCAAGTTATTAGTTAGCTATTGGCCTCAGGAGCCCTCGATAACATAATCATTATTTTAAGATTTTGAAGAGGCTGCCTAACAATGATTTTCTAATTCTATTATTCCTTCTCATTTATTAGTTGGAATTCTTCTTTTAAAAAACATTTCTCTCTCATCAACCGCTAACACTAAAATTCAGTTCATCCAGGAGAGGTGGGAAAAATGAAGAGAAAGACTTAAACATTTATCAATTTCCAGATTACCATACTGCCTAACAACTCTCAAAGTTCATTAATGGTTCATCGGTTAATGAAGAGCTTTTGTAGTATTGCTACCACAGGCTTTTTATATCTATGTGTTAATAAAGGCCAGCGATTATTCCTTTTGGATGTCCAGCTTATGGCAAGAACCCTTTCAGTGGGTTCCTGTATCCCTTTCATAAGACCCATGATATCCTAGCTAGTCTTTTGTTTCTGGGGGCTGGGAAGACGATATCCCAGGATCTCTACACTTTCTGCCCCAGTCTCTGAATCATCAATTTCTCCAAAAAGCCTAGTTTTTTGAAATTTAGAAACTCAATCTTATTTTTAGAGATATTCATGGTCCTTTTCTAGTATTTAAAGGTAGGTCAATGAACCATAATTTCACAAGAATATTTCAAATTTAAAATTTATTTTCTTTAATATCATAGAGTATTTTTAACACTAAACCTTAGTTCCTAATGACATTAACATAATTACTCATTTGATTACATATGTGAATCTATACTTAAATCTCAATAAAAACATTGATATCACTTTTAACAGTAAGTCCATAGAACATGGCTTGAGAATCTTTGTAATCCTTTATCCTTAGGTTATTCCTCACTAGAAATATGCTCGAGCATATTTCTATGTATATGTAACATCTCCATTGGAGACTTTGTTGTTACTGTGTCTGGCATATCGAATACGTCACGGGGAGCTTGCCAGGCTTTGCCGTGCGGGCGAGATACTCTCGGTAGCTTGCCAGGCTCTCCAAGAGGGGCGGAGGAATCGAACTCGGGTCGGTCATGTTGGCTGCATGCAAGGCAAACGCCCTACTGCTGTGCTATCACTCCAGCCCACACTAGAAATATACAGTAAGTAACTGTATTTTGAAGTTATTTGAAGTAATTCTTTTCTGTGTCATTACCTCCACATTCTTATACAGCTAGGCTCATTTGTTAGTTTGCTTTTGCCTGCCATATACTGTTTCCAAAACAAAATGGCAGGGGGAAGTCAATGAGCTGAATATATGCTTTGGACACAGGATGCCTGGGTTCAGTTCCTGGCACTGCATGGTCCCCCGAGCACCACCAGTGGTTACACCCCTGGCACTAAACACTGAGTCAGGAGTATCTAGCCCCTGAGCATCACCAGGTGTGGGCAAAAACCAAATCAGAACAAAATCAAACTTCAGCTGAGAAGCCTGAGAGATGGGTTGAGCACACGCTTTGCATGCAGGAGACCAGGGTTTGATCCCTATTACCACTTGACCCCCCAAACAGAAGGGTGGGAGCAATCCCTGAGAACCACTAGGTATGGCTCCAAACTAATTAAAAACACAACAATAACAAACTGCAGATCAGTAAAGGTAGAAAGATTTAAAGTGATAGACGCAGATGCTGCCTGAGCTCATGTGTTGCTTGTGCCCATGTGGCCGAGCACATATGGGATGAGCACATGTGTCGCCCGCATCTCCCCTCTTGAGATGTGTACTTTCATGCTTTTCGATCTAATTCTAGGACGTGTGTAGGGGCTCTCTCCGACCTTGGAGAAGCCCGGGTTCTCTCTTGAGTACGTTACTCTCTCTCATTCTCTTTCTCCAAAAACCTCCAAATAAAATCTATTTATTTCAAAAAAAAAAAAAAAGAAAGATTTAAAGTGATAGTACAGTGGGTAGGGGACTTGCCTTGCACGCGGCCAACCTGGGTTCAATTCCCAGAATCCCTTATGGTCCCCCAAGCACCACCAGGTGTGATTCCTGAATGCAGAGCCCGGAGAAATCCCTGTGAGTCGCCGGGTGTGACTCAAAAAGAAAAAAAAAAGGACCAAGTCTATTCAGACTTACAGAAACCAGCAATAATGCTATGTACTTCTTTCTTGGGCTGGAGCAATAGCACAGCAGGTAGGGTGTTTACCTTGCATGTGGCCAACCTGGTTCCAATTCCCCTGTCCTTCTCGGAGAGCCCAGCAAGCTCTCCATGGCATATTTGATATGCCAAAAACAGTAACAAGTCTCACAATGGAGACATTACTGGTGCCCGCTTGAGCAAATGGATGAACAACGGGAGGACAGTGCTACAGTGCTGTTTATTTCTTATTTTCAAAGACACTATTAAGAGGTTAATGCATGTACTTTTGAACATAAAATATGCTAGAGGAAAAATGCTATACTTTTATTGTGGGACAGGAAAAGTAGCTTTAGTAAGGCGGGATACTTTCTAGAGCATTTTAGTTATTTATAAAAAAAAAACAAGTCATGTTACAAGATAAGGAAAAATAAAATTTTAGAGGAAATTTCCTAATCTTACATATCTTAAATATATAATTTAGCTATAATATTATTAATGTATTATGAATAATATTACATTAAATATTTTAGACATATAATGCATTATACAATTTAATAAAAATATAATTAACACAACTTTTAATTAATAGTTTACAATTCTTCCATCAAATTGTATGATCCATTGGATTTTCTCATATTCATAGTTGTTCAATCATTACCACAATCAATTTTTGAACATCTCCATTTTTCCCCCAAAAGAAACTTTCTTCTTCTTTGCACATCCAGTGGTTCTCAGGGCTTACTCCTGGCTCTGCACTCAGAAATTACTCCTTGCGGTGCTCGAGGTACCATATGGGATGCTGGGGATTGAACCCGGGTCGGCCATGTGCAAGGCAAACGCCCTGTCCACTGTGCTATCGCCCCAGCCCTTGTTCACCATTTTCTAAGGTAACATTCTCCCTTATTCCCTTTGGGGTACCTGTGGAAACAGATCTTTTTCAGATCTTCCATGTACTTCCTGCAGATGTCTTGCAGGGGATCCCTCTTCAGGGGACTGGTATCCACTAAATTCTCATTCCAGGACCCATTCCAGGGCTCCACACATTCTTCTATACACTTCAAAATTTCTTTGTCATGAGGAGATGTGATCTGGGTGCCAGTTTCCCAATAAACCTAGAGGATGGGTAAATACAGCAGCGATTACCAGAAATGTAGCTTAGACGTTTTACTAACTACAAGGAGAGATAGATATTTAAGCTTTGTGGAGAAGCATACCAAGGGAGCCCAGTAGAAGATGTCAACATGGGGCTTAACAAGCATCAAAGGATACTGGCGGTAGTGATTCCATAGGGATTCTTCAATAAAATAACATTTGATTATATAATAGGCTTTTTTCTCTTTGGGAAGTGCATGTTCATGATAATACAAGTATAAGCGGGACATTGGCACATACCATAGATACAATAATCATCTTTGGTTTTGCACTAAAGATAATGGAACCATTTAATATCCATTTAACTTAATACTACAAAATTCTGGCATTATAAAACATTTGTTATACAGTATAAATGAAATTATTTTTCAGTGATAAAGTGGAATACAAGTCACTTTATATAAATACAAGTCACTTTCATTTACAAACATAAACTAGAAAATTAAGGCTATTCCATTTACATCTCATAGATGTGTTTTCAAATATACTGAGAAATATATAAGGGAAGGGGCAAACAAATTTAAAAAAAGATAATAAAGGAAGTAGATAATACAGAAAGCTGTAAATTCTGTGACGGAAAGAAGCAAGGATACAAATGAACAGGCCTTTATGAACAGATGGACATGAAGAGTATCATGCTGAGGGAAATGAGTCTAGGGAGAGGGACAGATACAGCATGACTGTACTCATTTGCGGGATGTAAAAAAGCACGTATGGGACTGATACTGAGGAACAGTAGAAAGGAGAGACAGGAAGACTGGTCCATGGTTGGAAATTTTGCCACAAAGATGCGGCTGGGTGATGGAGGACATTTAGGATAGAGAAGGGACCACTATAACAATGACAGTTGGGAATGATCACTTTGGATAAGAATTGAGTGCTGAAAGGAGGTAAAAGGATATATATGATAATCTCTCAGCACCTGTATTGCAAACCAGAGTCCAAAAGGAGGTGGGGAGGGAGGGGGGAGAGAGAGGGAGGGTAGGAAGGAGGGAAGGGTAGGAGGGAGGGAAAGGTAGGAGGGAGGGAAGGAGGAAAGGAGGGAGGGAGGGAGGGGGGGGAGAGAGAGAGAGAGAGAGAGAGAGAGAGAGAGAGAGAGAGAAAGTGCCTGTAATAGAGGGGGGATGGGGTGGCAGGAGGAAACTGGGGACACTGGTGGTGGGAAATGGACACTGGTGAAGGCACAGGTATTGGAACATTATATGACTGAAACCCAATCATGAACAACTTCGTAACTGTGTATCTCACAGTGATTCAATATACATAAACAAATGAGCAAGCTTGGGAGTATTAAGGAAGAACAATCTGAACAGAAGCAAAAACAAAAACAAAGGCTTAGGGTGGGCCAGGACTTGAGGTGAAGAGGAGAAACAGGAGGGACAGCGGGGAGGAGTGTGGCCCTTAAACACAGCACAGGAGAGGAATGAACAGACAAGCCTGAAGAGGAAGGCAGGGGAAAATCCTTGAAGTGTCTCCCGCAGAACACTGCGACCAGCTGAGCCTACACTCAGCTCACACTTAGTATGTCCAAAACAGAACTAGCCACACTTCTTCCTTTGCTCTGACTGGCCGTCCTGCCTATCCATTACAGCCCATTATGGCCAAAATCTTAGATTCCCGTTACACCTCCTTTACTCACACAAGGAAATAGCTCAGTATGGAACCTTCCCTTATAAGAAGAAAATAAAAAGATCCACGATGATGGGCCCGCCACCCAGAAGCCTTAAACATGGGCTCCGCACTGTATGAGATCTCTCCGTTTGCCCTACCAAAGCTACTCTCCATCCCGGTCACCTTCTTTTTTGGCACAGAGGCATCAGGGGAGAGAGGAAAGTAAAGACCCTTCTGTTCCTACTTCTCTTCCTGCCACCAGGCACTCCTTCTCCGAGGGTTTGGTTTAATATGACTTCATTTCTGAGATGGCAGAGGGTGGATTTGGGATACAATGGGGAAATCAACAGCAGGAGATACCAAGAGTAAAAAGACCAGTGAAGAGACTTTGATAACATCCATGTTTGGGAGTAAAGTGGTCCCCTGGGGCTACACCGTCCTCGAGCTTCAGCCTCAGTGCTTTACCCTTTCTGTCCCCGATGGAGTTTTACACCCCAGTGCCGAAAGCAGACTCAGCACACAATTAAATAAACTGAAAGACGCAACGGTCAAGAGTCCGAGCTTTACCTTGTATCCATTGTCTTCTTTGCGGTTGTGGGATGCCGTGATCATCACACCAGCAACTGCTCTGAGCTCCTGGACTGCATACGGCTGAAAAACACAGGAACGCCCTAAGTTCCCTCTGCTTCCAAGCTACACGTACATTCAATGGAAGACTCTCTTTGATTAAATAATAGGAAAAGACATTCAGATATAAACCGCCTAAAGCCCCAATAACCAAACCCTTGGTTTGGGGATGAGGCTCATTTCTAGAAGGAATCAAGAGCCACTGAGCTGTTAGGTTTTTTATCTCTGTAGTCTCACTGAACTAATCCTGTATTATAATTTTGTTCATTTAACAAATATTTAATGAATGCCTAATATATATGCATATACATATGACTGAAATTCCACCAGAACATGGAGATGTAAGTGATGAAGATAATCAAAATGTTAAAACTGCCAGTAAATTTAGAAATATTCCAACATGGGCTTCTTAAATCTTTTCTACTCATGACAGTTTTGTGCCCAAGAAATGCAACTTGGGTAAGTACTTCCAAAACCACTTTGAGTTCACTAATGTTGAGTTACTTTTTGGCTGTGGTGCATTCAGAGATCTTCCACTGCTGCTGAGCTTTTGGTGATCCCATTGAATCACAGTCCACACTTTAAAGAAGCTAGATCTCGATCCACTCCACATTTTAACTATCAACAATAAAAATGAGCCCAGAACAAAGTTTTTTTCCTTTTGGTCTGTCACATCACTTAGTATAGAACTATATGCATGGCAAAGAGTTATAATTCGATAATAAAAACTTGCTGTAATTTGTATCCTCTTTCCTTATGACTTTCTAAGGTTCAAGAGGTAAAAACCGTGCTGGTCGTGGGGCTGGAGTGACAGCACAGCAGGTCGGGTGTTTGCCTTGCACGCAGCCGACCTGGGTTTGATTCCCAGCATCCCATATGGTCCCCCGAGCACCGCCAGGAGTAACTCCTGAGTGCATGAGCCAGGAATAACCCCTGTGCATCGCCGAGTGTGACTCAAAAAGCAAAAATCAATCAATCAATCAATAAAAATAAACCGTGCTGGTCGGGCCAGAGATGATGCAGGGATAAGGTGCCTGCTTTTCATGCTGCTGACCCTGGTTCCATCCCCAGGACTACATATGGTCCCCTGAGCAACATCAGGGGCCACTTCTGAGCAAAGAGCCAGGACTAGCTCCTGAGGATGGCCAAGTGTGGCCCACAAACAAACAAACATAAACACAACACTGGCTGAAGATTTGTAGTTTGGATGACATGACAACACCTCAGTGGGAACATTCTTTGGGCTTTAGGTGGACCTCTGTGTGATGAGAAGCCCAGTGCCCTGACTGGACAGAACTGGTCTATCATGGGCACTGTGTGGTGGAGCCATCCTTGCCCGAAAGCCATATATTTGCTCATTAGCAAACTGAAAAAAAAATCCCAAAAATGTTTCTTCCCATTTCTGCATTTGGGTAAAAGTAAAGTAAAAGTAAAGGCCCTCCCGTTGATCGTCGATTTTCTCGAGCGGGCCCAGTAACGTCTCCATTGGAGACTTTGTTGTTACTGTGTTTGGCATATCGAATAAGCCATAGGGAGCTTGCCAGGCTCTGCCTGTGAGGGAGGGATACTCTTGGTAGCTTGCCGGGCTCTCCACTGTCCTCCCGTTGTTCATTGATTTTCTCGAGCGGGTCCAGTAACGTCTCCATCATGAGACTTGTTACTGTGTTTGGCATATCAAGTACGTCACGGGGAGCTTGCCAGGCTCTGCCATGCGGGCGAGATACTCTCCGGTAGCTTGCCGGGCTCTCCGAGAGGGGCGGAGGAATCGAACTCGGGTTGGCCATGTTGGCTGCGTGCAAGGCAGATGCCCTACCCGCTGTGCTATCGCTGCATTTGGGTATATGATTTTATATGTTCACTGTTATATTCCTCATCTCCTCATTCTAACCCTTCCCTGTCATAAAGATGTAAAGATATCATAAAGATGTCATAAATATGTCATAAAGATGTAAAGATGTCATAAAGATTTTTCCTGGAAAAGGTCTAAATACGTATAGACTTTTGTCATCCTAACTCTGCTTTTTTAAAAAAACAGACCTCCACTCACTTTCCACTCTGAAGCTTGCTCTTTCTGATGCCTTTTTTGGCCTGACTAACTACCCAATTTGTATGTTGTTCTCTAGCCAAGAAACCCTTCTTTTCTACTCAGCTGTCTCTATGGTTTTGGGATGATAGAATTCTGCCTGAACGAAGAAATTTTTCCAAAAGCAGTAAACTGTACAATCAATAACACAACATACTTACTACAAAAGGTGTAGGAACGTATCTTGAAAAAAGGTACACAGGAACATCTTTGGCCAGTAAGACAGCAGCAGTGAGCTTAGCAAGTCTAAAGGAGAGAGAGACAGCTTTCACTTAGACCTTAGCTGGCCATTCAGCTAGCCAAAAATACCTTCCACAAAATTATTAGCAGTCTGAAGCTGTGAATATATCCCTCCCATTGTGACAAATGAAAACTGAAAGAACAAAAGGTTCATACTATAATTGTTATGAATACATAGTAGTCAACTGGTTATTTCAGCATCATACTCCAACTTAAAATCACTAATCACTAACTAGATCTGGGGATGGGACTTAATGGATTCTATGTGGTGCACATGTGGCCTTCAACCGCTGGAACTGCCCCTACCCCCAACACTCTTAAAGGAACTTAAAAATAAACAGAATTGAGATGTCAATTTCTTCCTCTTTTCTTATTTATCAGATGGCACTTTTCCTAAGAAATAAAACATATCAAGCCAAAAAAGAAAAAAAAAAGCAAAGAAGGAAGAAAGTGCAATGAGACTCTGATAAAAAGAGCATGCAAAACTACTCCTTAAGAAAAGACATCACAGGGCTGGAGCAATAGCACAGCAGGTAGGGCTTTTGCCTTGCATGCAGCCAACCCGGGTTTGATTCCCAGCATCCCATATGGTCCCCTGAGCACCGCCAGGGGTAATTCTTGATTGCAGAGCCAGGAGTAACCACTGTGCATCGCCAGGTGTAACCAAAAAAACAACAAAAAGAAAGAAAAGAAAAAAAAAGAAAAGAAATCACGAGGCTGGAGCAGTAGCACAGCAGGTAGGGTGTTTGCCTTGCAAGCAGCCAACCCAGGTTCGATTCCCAGCATCCCATATGGTCCCCTGAGCACTGCCAGGAGTAATTTCTGAGTGCATGAGCCAGGAGTAACCCCTGTGCATCTTGCCAGGTACGACCCAAAAAGCAAAAAAAAAAAAATCACTATTATAATGATTAAGATTATCTAGGTATGAAAACAACCTCCATCTAATCAAAAAGAACTTCAATGAGAAAACACAAGTCATACCATCACTTCTATCCCGTGCCTTTGCTAAATGTTAAAATTATAACACAGGCTAATGTCATTCCAAACACTAATTCTGAGTCTTTAAAAGATCTGACTCCTTTCTGGAGAAGCTAAGACTACTCTCGGAAACGCTTGTTTCTGCTCCATGAGCACAGTTCTATTTGACCATTCCTACTTCAGAAATCCATGCTGGACAAAGAGACATTGCCATCGGCGGAAGCTGGGAAGCAATCTGCACAGTACCTTTGGCTGCTGCAGCTGCTCGTCACTTGGCCCCGGGTGTCGTAGCCAACGACAAAGCCTCTCTGCTTGAAGTCCGAAAAGCATCTCTCCAGGTACTTGTACATGCCCTGAAGCAGAGCCACACAGAAGATGAATTCCCGACCCGCACATTTCACGCCATCGAGTCTCTTGAGTCTTCCTCTCTGCATTGCCTTCTGGCTTCTAGGGCTCCATCTTTAAGTCCATGTTTACTAATGTGAGACCAAAACTGTTCAACTCACAAATGTGAGATAACAAAGATGTATTTCTGGAGTTCTCAAATACCATAGCAATGTCACTTAATGTAATCATTAGGTCTGATATGACACATAAAACATTAGGGGAAATAGAAGAACAAGAGAGTCAGCTTGATTTGAAACAAAACAAAAACATTGTTAGAAGAGCCCAAATTTTCCCTGCCCTAAGGCCCTAGAGAACAGAATTTGACCATTTATTTCCTTGCTAAGTCATAGGACTAAAGAGCTAATTAAAAGATTAGACTTCTTTATGACACAAACTTAAAACCAGAAACAAAAACCTTCATTAGAACATTTCTTTCCACCCTCCTCCATCCCCCCCGCCTTAGTTGTAGAGCATGTGGAATGAGGGGGTGGGGAGTGCCTTCCAGGGGTCCTGTAGTTCAGCCATCATGCTGGAACACCCCAGGCTGCAGTGGACCAGAGATTGCATGATTGCACAGGGTTCAGAAAGGGCAGCTTGTGCAGTGCGAACTCACAGCCTCAGACCTGCAGGCAATGCCGGGCCTCTCCCCTAGTCCTGCCACTAGAAAATCTCTTGACTTGGTTGATCCTATTTATAATTCCTTGTTGTTTTTTTTTTTTTTTTTTGCGGGGTCGGGGCAGGTTGGGCCAGCAATGCTCTGGCCCTGTGGCTTGGTACTTGAGGGCTACCAGGTCTTTACCCAGTAGTGCCAAGGGAGGGGCCCAGGTGGTGCCCAAGGTTGAACTCAGGGTCCTGCACATATGGGGGTGTGTGCTCTTCCACTTAAATCATGGCGCTGGCACAATTCACAGCAAGAAACTATTATAAACTAGAACAATTCCAGTCAAGGGAAAGAAAATAATAATACTAAAGCATTTTCTAGCAAAAATACATTAAGACCAAGTAACTATCTTTTGAATAATTTGCTAAACTTATGAAACACTTTTATAACCAAAATTAACATTTCCAGGCCAGGGACATGGGTAAAGCAATAGAGCACATGCTCAGTGTGTACAAGGCCTGACCTGCAACCCCTGGCACCACATGGGTTCATGAGCACCAATCTATGTGGCCGGGTGGGACCTGGGCATCACCAGGACCAAATGTGGCTCTGAACACTGCCAGGTATCACTCTTATAGAAAACTTAACTCTTCATGTTGTTATAGTCCTTTAAAACTACTTCTATGAATACTGCCACAATTAGTCTTTACAACTACCCCGAAAAGAAATGCAGATCCCATTTCTATTTTTGTTTCTGCCTTCCATATTTCTGAAGGTCCATTTAATGACTGGCTAAACGCCATTCATTCAACTAAAATTAAGTTATACTACTTTTTTTTTTTTTTTTTGCTTTTTGGGTCACACCCGGCGATGCACAGGAGTAACTCCTGGTTCATGCACTCAGGAATCACAGCTGGCGGTGCTCAGGGGACCATATGGGATGCTGGGAATCAAACCCGGGTCGGCTGCGTGCAAGGCAAACGCCCTACCCGCTGTGCTATCGCTCCAGCCCCAAGTTATACTACTTATTAAAGACTTACTATACGGAAGGTATTAAGTAACTATGTGACAGAATCTGATAAATTCACAGTGACTTCTGGACTTTCCTGGTTCATTTAACTATTATTGTTTACAGTTCTTAATTTGTGATGCATTTATATTTTCATGCATTTTTAATATAGCTCAAATGGGTTCATTCATCAAGCTGTTTCTAATAATGCTATTATCCTAAAAACTCATATGTTATTCTCTTCATTTTAGGGTCAAAGAGATCGTTTACACGCATTCAGGTACTTGTCTTGCACACAGCTGAAACCAGTTTGATTCCAAGAACCCCACATGATCCCCTGAGCATTGCTAGAAATGATGTCTGAGCACAGAGTAAAGGAGTAAGCCCTGAGCACCACTAGGTGTGACCCCAAAATAACCAAAACTTAGTCCCTGTATAGGGCTGGTGCTTGAGAATCAGATTCCAACTGGCTTTTCTTCTTCACCAACTCTTAGATCATTTCAACTCTTTGAAAAATTTGTACTTGTATAGAAATTGATATTTAAGTACCTGCTTCACCCCATTTGTAAGGTCAAGGAATCTTCATTCAAAAGCTTACAGGGTTGGGATATGGCTCAAGTAATGGAACACAAGCCTGATTGCAGTCCTCGGAATGTGTGGATGACTCTTCCCTGAACACTGCTGGGTGTGGCCCATATTTTTATAAAAAGATAAAAAAGGGAAGTAACAGGGGAACATGGGTCTAGGGCCTTGCGTCTGTCAGTTATGGTGTGTGGGGGTGGTATACCTGTATATTCAAACTACAGAATCAACCACACTGAAAACAGGAGCTCCAAACTACGACAACCAAGCTTTCTAACATGCCTGTCAAGGTGGCATGGAAGTGGAGGGTAGGTGACACTGGTGATGGGATTGATACTAGAACACTATATGTCTAGAACTCAACTATCATAACTGTAAATCACAGTTCTTTACTGAATTTTTTTTTTTACTTATAAAAGGAAAGAATGGAAAGCTTATGGAACATGGGGCTGTGGCTCTGTGGTAGGGCACAGGCCTTGCCGGCTCGAGGCGTAAGCTTGACTCCTAGCACTGCCCCACATCGGTGCATGTGATCCTGGTGGCACTATCACAGGGATCCCAGTGGTGTGATCTCCAGGGTCCAGCAACCAAGTACATGGACACCACTTTCGAGTGTGCACACCCCCAGGACAGCACAACAAAAGGGAAGGGAAGTGGGGAGAAATGGAGCATCTAAGAAACTTGGGAAAAAGAACAGAGGTTGAATGTAGTGTCTCTGGATGGAGACTTAGAGAGGGAATGAGGCAGGGAAGGTGGCTTGTAGCTTACCTGTTCCGCCATTTTGTCATCCCTCTTCCCCACATTCCTGCATTAGCCCTTGGTTTTAGAGAATCCCCCTCAGGGCAAAGCTAGATGGTTTACAGTATCAATTAAAGTAATAATGTCTGAGAGATGCTCTAGCCCTGAACTAGTTTCAGTGTACGGTACAAGCATTATTGGCCTCAAAAGTGAAGCAACTTCAAGAAGTAAGGATGAGTCACTGAAAAGAAATCAATTTCTAAAACAAGCTGCAGTAAACTGGGGAGAAATAATCCAGGCTGCATCACATCACACACTCTTAAAAACTTTCAAAGGAATACATAGAAAATATGGGGAAAGATTTCCAAATACTGATTAATTTTTATGAATAGACATAACACCAAAATAGGTAGCAAACTTATTTTTGAGTTTGTTTCTTTATACTAATTGGGCATGGCAAATTCATCTTCTTGTTTTAAATGCAAAGTAACACTGTCACTTTGTGAAGTGTCAGAGGCCATCAAAATGACTCAATCAGAAAGTAAGTCTGTGACATTAAAATATATATAATTTCAGTTAAATCCTAAGAACTTTCAGTCAGACCTCATTTTTTTTTTCTTCAAAGAGATCACCTTCCCTGGTATAAAGATCATTTTAAAGAAAGATACTATCTAATTTAGAAAGGGAAAAATAATGATTAAAAAGCAGAGCACACACATGGTGCTTTATACTACTCACCTGAGTTGACTGTATAACTGTTAAGTCATTAATATAGCAAAATCCTGCCCCCATAGCCGAGCGCAGCCCTGCGGTCCCAAAGGTCATACGGCAGCAGAGCCGATCTCTCAGCTCCTTGTTCATCCCATTCCGCAACAGATTTTCAATCTGCTCTTTTGTTTTGGGATTCTGTTAAAAAGAAGAAGTCGTAACATTAAATGTAGCCAAGATCACAAGCAGAGTTCTACTATGAACCCCTGCAGTGAAAGCAGTAAGTACTAGGCACACATCACACCTGCATCTGCAGCCTGGCTCCAGTGATACAATACCTGCCGCTGACTAAGTTCCCAAAGGAGCCACGCCCTCTGAGGAAGACATAAGTAGCTCCCATTGTCAAATTTTTATGACCGGACTCAAGATTTTAAAGACTAAACCGAGGGCCAAAGAGATGGTATAGCAGACGCTCTCTCTTTGGCCCCCTTGCTTGGCACACAGCCAACTGGTTCGATCCCAGAGCACACCAGTGTGTATCCAAAAAAAAGGCGACACAAACAAAATCCTAAGTTATGGAAGCAAACATAAAGTTCTAGTGGAAACAAAACTAATTCATTCTTTTAAAATAAATATAGACACTACTACTGCAATGCCATCAAAACATGTCTATATAATACATACATAATTCAAATAGATAATCCTCATTTAAAGTAAAAAAAAAAACCATTTAACTGATCTCTAGAAAAAACTGGACGCTAAAGTTCTTAGTTGTTAAATGTAAACTTTGCTAAGAATGAAAGTGAAATTCACCAAATGTGGCTTAAGAAGCAGGGCCACATAGAAACAATAATGAAAATAAGTTTCCAGCAGCCTAAAGAAAGAAAAAAAATATATATATATATAATTTATTTGGATATATGTAATCACATGTACATCTCTATGCATACACGCGCGTGGCCATGTGCCAACATACCCCTCAACCACATGCTGTTCAATGGCCAACTGTACGTAGCTTAAACAAGAAAGATTTTTTGATTACAGTAGAAATTAAAGTAACCAGTGTCCATATCATACACAAACTAGTGGGAAGATATGGAAATTGTGATTAACTGAAATAATTTGCTTAAATTACATACAACACATATGCCATAGGCATCTACATTCAATTAAACACACACTAACAAATATACAGCCTACATAAAAATATGAATTGAGGAGGCTGGAGAAATAATACAGTGGGTAAGGCACTTGCCTTGTATGTGGCTGACCTGATTCAATCCCTCGCACCCCATATGGTCCCCTGAGCCCACTAGGAGTGATCCCTGAGCACAGAGCCAGGAGTAAGCCCTGAGTACCACGTCACCCCCCAAAATATGAATTGAGAGAGAACCCCAGTAGTAACCCTGGGCTACTATCATATTATTCCAATGTCTAATACACCACCAGATTTGATAGGAGAGGTCGCACAAACTGGGAGGATATTAGTGTTAGAAACTAGACATTAAGAATAGAAAACAACAGGGAAGCCTGGGAAAGCTACAATGCCATAAGTGGTCCATGGCAACATCATGGAGTTAGCAACAATGAAACTGGGATCCTCTTTTATAAAGCAACTTCACAGCAACTCCCAACTTTTAAACTGCCTCTGTCTTTTGGCCCATATATTTCTCTGCCCACAGCAATCCCTGAACAGAAAGATTTACTCCTATGGAATGCTCATGACAACATCCGATAAGAATATACACGAGGAATTAAGATGTAGAAAAGGGCCCCCGAAACAAGATGCTAATATTAGATGTCTAAACAGGATCTGAGGATTCCTGACTAAATCTCCCAGGAGATGCACGCCAAGTAGCTAAAATCCAAGCAAACACTGATCCCTGTAGCCCAAACCTCCAGGGTGCCCTCAGGAGGCGGACAGGCCAAGTACCACCTTACTGAAGCCCAACAGCCACCCACACCCCCACCACTGCAGCCACGCCCAGGGTTCAACTCCACCACTTCAGGAACACTCTCTGCAGATGCCAATCTGTGAAAAATTACAGGTACCCCAGTACCCAGGCTGAGAACTCTGGTGTTTCTCAGAGTTGGGGTGAACAACCTCCCTACCCCCATACTCTGGAAGCCCTGGCAGTCCGCCCACCTCCCAGATCTGCCGCCATGGTCTGGCCCCAAACCATAGATCCTAATGCCTCTGGACCATGGACACCTCCTAATTCCTCAATACTGAAATTCCAGTAGGAGCACACTAAATTAGATGGGAAAGTAACACAGTAGGCCACCAGACTCAACAAACACAAACAACAACACAGATGACTCAACCAGCAACAAACAGCTTAATAAATTCTTAGAAAAGGACTTAACAACCCTGTGATGAGAGGTAACAATTTTCACATTTAAAAAAAGATTTTTTATACTTGATTTTAATATTGCAGCTTTGTTATCTAGTCAATTTCAATTGTTGAATTGTATCACAGTTGTGGCTTTTGTCTACATTAAAATGGATTTGAAATTTAGAAAATTGTTTGAAAATAAACAGGAATTGAATACAGGTTGGTGTGATACTAAAGCCAATTCCATCTCATAAATAAAGTAATTGTGAAGGGCAGGTTAATAATGCTTTTAATAATAACAATCACTCCTGATTACAAGGCAATATTCCTGGGTTGGAGAGAGTCCAGGGGTCAGGCGCTCGCTGGCATGGCCTGTGTGTTTGACCCTGTTTCCATCTTCGCCACGATATACAGTGGTCTCCTAAATGCTACCAGGGGTCAAAGCCTGAACACCACCAGAAATGACCCAAAGCTCACCCTACCCTCAGTTTTTTTTTATCACAGTTAAATGAACATGATTCACCAGACACTAGGTTCAGTGTTCCATTGCTCAGCGTATAAAGCAGGACCCAGAAATCCCATTCTCTATTAGGATACTGCACCAGTATACTAGTACATTGCAATACCAGTTAGTTCATTCCTTTTGGTACATTGCAACCAACACATTGAAAATTTCTGATTCTGAAAAAGTCTATAAATTAAGAGAAAAATAAAAATGGGAAAAGAATTATAATGCATTAGATATTGTATGGCAAAAACAGTTGATTATAGTGACAGGCATGGGGCTTTTTTTGTGGGGGGGGGGAGAAGGGGGTACACCCAGTGGTGCTCAGGGCTTATACCTGGCTCTGCACTCAGGGATCACTTCTGGCAGTGCTCAGGGAACCATCTGGGATAACATGGAATGAACCTGGGTCAGCTGTGTCCAAGGCAAGTGCCTTCTGTGCTCTACTGTCACCCTGACCCACAGCAGGCAATTTAAATCTTTCTAAAACTCAGACTTTGCCACTATTTCCTAAGTAGGCATTCAATTAAAAGTCGATGCTTACACTTAACAGCTATAACTAAAAGAGGCGATCAATCTCTTCATCACAGATTTTCCATTCAGATGATGAAATTACACTTGAATTTTATTTAAAATTCTTAAAATCTTCAATAATGAGCTTCCATGCCTGACCTGGGCCAGATAAATGGGTCACACCACAGCTCCTGACCAACTTCAACATCCCAGGTGAGGCTGCCTCCTGCTGACATCCCGGGCCTGCTCCGGAACAGGGGCAGAGCTCCCTCCTTCCGGTGAGGTCCTGGCAGCCTTAAACAGACCCACACCACAGCTCCTGAAGCAGTCACACAGGAGACCTACTCAGCAAGTTACACGCTGCTCACAGCAATGCTTCCTGGCATTTGGTGAGGACCAACAAAGAAGAAAGAGAGTAAGAACAGCTTAAGCCCTCAGCACCTTCCGGGGGGGTCTAACAACAAAGACTCTGCTCTGAGCACAGCAAGAACATTAAAAAACCAACGGGGAAAACACAGCAGCCCACCAAGCTCAATGAGCAAAATCAGTATCGCTAAAGACATAAACAACACCAGTAAACCCACAGAAGGTGCCATTAGTGACACTACGATGAGGATGTTTAATGAGCTCAAAGAAATGATGGCACGGGCAAAACACAAGAATGTATGAGTCAAAATGAAAAATTTCAAATAACTAAAACACACACACACACACACACAGAATAATGGGGAAATCAGAGGTAGAGCCTGAGGTAGAAAAGGATAGAAAAGTAACTAATTTGGGGGCTGGAGCGACAGTGTTTGCCTTACACATGGCTGACCCAGGTTCCATCTCCGGCATCCCATATGGTCCCCTGAGGCCACCAGGAGTGATCCCTGAGCACCGAGCCAGGAGGAAGTCCTAAGCACTGCTGGGTATGACCCAAAAACAAACAAAAACTCCAAGAAAAGCAACTAATTTCTATTGCATATTTGTGTTGTTTGGATATTTTATTACTCAGAAAAACCCCTACTATGTGTATACATGAATACTTTTTACCTCACAAACTTTTTGTTGTTGCTTTTGGCCCACACCTGGCAATGCTGAGTGGTTACTCCTGGCCCTGAGCTCAGTAATTACCCTGGGCAGGCTCAGAGGACCATGTGCGGTGCTGGGTTGGCTGTGTGCAAGGCAAAAACCCTACTCACTGTATTATCACTCTGTCTCCTTTCACAGACTATTATTTTTTTACCACAAATTTCTATTTATAAGATTTTAATCTCGGGGCCGGAAAGATGGTACAGTGGGCAGGACATCTGCCTTGCACACGGCTGACCTGGGTTCGATCCCTGGCATCCCATATCCTTGAGCACTGCCAGGAGTAATTCCTGCATGTAGAGCCAGGAGTGAACTCTCAGCATTGCCATGTCTCTCCCCCTCCCCCAAAAGACTGCCAATTTTATGGAAGGAATTGGTATTTCTGTTACCAATCATCCTTAACACGTTAGTTAAATTTGGGGGCTTTGGGGCTACACAGGAGAACGCAGGATACTCATCTAATTTATAATGAAAAAAAGGGTAAAGAGCAGAGTCAGGGAAAGATAACTTGACAAACTAGTATCTGGATTAAAAATGAGCAGAAATTGGAGGTGGAGGGTGAGGGAAAACTTGGGACTAAAGAAATCATGATTCGGTATTAGTTTCATTAAGTTTGAAGGCATGTCTTTACTTCCCTGCCTAATAGACTATTCCGAGTACCAAGGAAAAGAAAATGAAAACAAGATCCAAATTTGGGTCCTAAAATGCTGCTGAAAAGTAAGAAAACTCTTAAGCCTTGGGAGAGAGTGCAAAGGGCTGAGCACATG